AAGTTAGCCAATCCCTAAAAAACAAATGCCGAATGTCTTCTCTAATATAAGGGGGGTGACTCAAAATGGGGTAGGGAAGAGCATGAGAAGAAAATTACCTTTAGATAGGGAAGAGAGGTGGGAGGGAGAGGGAGGGAGAATGGGAATTGCATGGAAGAGGGAAGGAGACCCCCTTCGTTATACAGAATACAGATTTGACGATGTGAGGGGGAAAAAGAAAAAGAAGTGGTCACATTAGATTAGGTAGAGAGAAGTGGTGGGAGGGGAGGGGAAGGGGGGAATGGAAGGACAGCAGAATAAAACAGACACTAGTATTGCTGTGGGTATATACGTGACTGCATGACTAATGTAACTCTGCAACCTGTACACTCAGAAAAATGAGAAATTACATCCCATCTGATTCAAATGTATGATATGTCAAGATCATTGTACTGTCATGTGTAACTAATTAAAACAAATTTTAAAAAAGGAAAGAGGAGAATAGGAAAAAAAAAAAAAAGAACTGAAGAGTGCATCTTAAGTCTCATCTTAGATTGCTACTCTTGCCAGAACCATCCCTGAAAAATACTACTATCTACTACATAATTTACCCTCCTTTCTAATCCTATATTTCTTACCTCCTGCCCCATTTCCAGTGCTCTTCCACCTCAGATTAACAGGAGATGACAGGGGATAAAAAGCCAAATGGTCAGGAAGATATGCTCAGGAGTACCTTTCATAGTCTAGAAAGAGCTATGTTTTACTGACCAAGCTGTTATCAAAGACCTGATCTACACAGTATAGTATTTCTTTTCCTGGGCCATGAAGGACAAAAGAACCTATTCTAAAACTGTCTTCCCAATTATGGTGCTGATCATACCTCATAGGAGAAAGAAAACATCTGCCAAGTGATGCTGAAATAAAATATTTGCTTGATAGAACAGCAACCAAACAAAACATTTTAAAGTTTTCTCAGTACAAAATAATTTTGCCCATATTATATTCTAAGCATTTCAAATTTCCATTATTTAAATAAAATGGAAGAACAAATTACCAATACCCATATGAAACTTCTCTAAAGCTTCTTTCTATGTGGCCTTTGGATTTTCTGTAATACAATCTTGGTACCCCACAAAAGCTGTTTTCATCCTCCAGATAAAGACTTTGTAACCCAATATGTAAAAACCTCTGGCTCTAATATACACCAGTTAACAATGGCCACTTATTCCAGTGTAACAATTTGTTTGCTTCCTGTCAAATGAGTGCTACCTATATGATAGAAGGAAAAATCCATGAGGTAAGTGAAAGCAAAATAACAAAAAAGACTCTTACCATTGCTCATCTGAGTGCAGGGAAGTTTCTTCTCACTTTTTCTATCATTGTTAGTAGGAAAGGCAGACAGCTCTCTGTCTGCTGATATCAGGCTCTCCAAGACAGTGGCATCTTGGGGAGGATGTGACAAAAATGTCTCCTTGGGCATCTGGACCATGAGGCTGGATAGTGTCTGATCTAGAACATCCTCCTCAGCAATATAGGTGTATGGACAGTATTCACGGGTCCTTGAGTATATGTTGGCATTGTCGTAACAATCTGAGCAGATCACCCGGGTACCAGTGCCACCTAATGACAACATGGGACAGAATCCAAACCATTTTTCTGTTAAGGAATTAGTTTGCATCACCAATTTCCATCCTTGAACTCTTAAACCTTATAAACAAGATGAAGTTTCAAAATCTGTGAATGGACTCATTTAATCTTCACAATATCCTCACATGGTAGGTACTATCATTATCCCCACTTTATAGATAAGGTAACTACAGAACATGACAGAAGTAATGTTGCCAGAGTGAAAAACCCAGGCCCTCTGGCTTTAGAGCCCACACTCTTGAATATTATGTTAAACCATCTCTGCCCAGCCCGGATAAGTCAAGTTCAAAGGGATCCAAGACAGGGCTTGCACTATGCCAAAAGATACATGCTTAGCCTAAGCAAATTAAAGCAGACAACAAAGAGTTTAGGATGACTTTACTTCATGAGAGACCATGTTACTTTTAAAAGTCAAGAGGTTAGCAATACTAACTGCTAAAATTATCCCTAGTCTAAGTCCTGCCTGACAAGCATGTGGTGATAGAAGTAAAAGTTTAATAAAGTAAAGAGCAGATCTAAAGTAATATGTTCATAGTCATAGAGCTAGAAACAGGAAGAACTCAGAATCAAATACAGTCTTTCTATTCCTTCATTCATCTCCCCATGTTTTGGCACTCCCTATGGAAACAAGAGTCTTGAGAAGTAAGGGTGAGAAGTAGGATTGAGAAGTCAGGTCCATTTAATTAGGATATGTTTATCTCTCTGATGTTCTTCATTATATGATGAATGAGAACCACTGTTGTACTTTATTTATTTATTTTTTTGTACCAGCCACATCCCCAGCCCTATTTTGTATTTTATTTAGAAACAGGGTCTCACTGAGTTGCTTAGCACCTCATCCTTGCTGAGGCTAGCTTTGAACACTGTTGCACTTTAAACTTTACTGATTATCTACATGTTAGCAGGAGACACTAACTTCCCTTGGATGTGATCTGAGGGATGCTCCTCCCTGAAAAGTCTTTTATTAAGACTCTGGTCAACTTTTATCCTATTTTGCATGATGCTAAATATTTTCACTTTAAAATATTGCTCAGAGCCAGGTGTGGTATGAACCTGTAATCCCAGTGACTTGGGAGGCTAAGGCAGGAGGATCACAAGTTTGAAGCCAACCTCAGAATTTAGTGAGGCCCTATCTTGAAGTAAAAAATTAAAAAAGACTGGGGCTATAACTCAGTGGCAAAGTGCCCTGGGTTAAATCCCTGGTACCAAAAGGTAAAAAATAAAATATTACTTCAGATTAATGGGGAAATTGAACACTGAAAAACAAATGACAGGACAGGCTGAAGTTGTAAGCATAAACATAAATCCTTACCATCAGTGCCTTTGTGTATATATCCACTGGCAGGAGGCATGAGCTGCTGGTGACTGCCTGCCTCAGAGTTGCTGTATCCTTCCTGTGGCTCAGACAGTGTTCCTTGGGAAGACAAGTAACTAGGAATGTCTGCAGGCAAATTGAGCTCCTCTGATTAAAAAAAAAAAAGACACCTGTAACTTTTAAATAAAGTTACCCAGTTAAAGCCAACACTCTGAAGGCTATTTTCTCAATGTGCTCTACTCTGATACAGCTGGCCAGGGGTGGGGAAAAAAGGGCACCACTGTTCCCCTTCAGAAAAACTAGAACTAATTCCTCAAATAGGTTGTTATATCAAGGAAACTGCAAATTTTAACAGAAAAACTTCCTTATGCCTATATTAGGTATAATGTATCATAGGCTCCTAAGTTTTTGTACTTAATAAATCCTACTCTACATTCTTTTTTTATAAATTTTTTTTTTAGTTGTAGATAGATACAATCTTCATTTTATTTATTTATTTTTATATGGTGCTGAGGATCAAACCCAGTGCTTCATGCTTGCAAGGCCAACGCTCTACCACTGAGCCACAACCCCAGCCCTGCACTACATTCTTGACTCCAGTATTAAGTCACAGATATCATCTGGGTACCACTCACCTGTGTTTGTGATACTATAGTCTTCACTTTTCCTTCTCATATGGTAAATAACAATGACCCAGATCAAAGAGGTGCCCACAACACAGCAGACCACAACAATGATGACAATGCCAACTGTAGTCCAGCCATCATCTTCATGCCCAATGCTACTCTGAGAAGAGTCACAATTGGGGGATGAAATGACATTTAGGTAAATATGGCCACGTTCTGTCCCAAGTGTATTAGACATGATACAGGTATATTTCCCGGCATCTTCTAGTCCAGCATCTACAATGATGAGAAGCTGGTTGGCGGCAGCAAAGAAGTGTCTCTCTGTCACCAGCAGTGGTCCATCATCTTTAGTCCAATTGAGGCGTGGAGCAGGACTTCCTCCAGCTATGCACTGTAATACAGCAGTTTCACCTCGGGTTACTGTCTTGTCTTCCAGAGGTCTAATAAATGAGGGTGTCTCTAAAAGGGAAACATTTAAAATATCAAGTTAGGCAATTGTTGGGGCTGGRGATGTGGCTCAAGCAGTAGCGCGCTCGCCTGGCATGCATGCGGCCTGGGTTCGATCCTCAGCACCACATACAAAGACGTTGTGTCTGCCGAAAACTAAAAAAATAAATATTAAAATTCTCTCTCTTAAAAAAAAAAAAAGTTAGACAATTGTATTCTCTAAATCCTACTGAATTTGACTAATGGGAAAATTAGAATCTTCTAAAAATGGGAATTCATAATCCACTTGAATCAAATGTATGAAATATGATGTGTCAAGAGCCTTGTAATGTTTTGAATAACTAATAATAAAAAAAGAATCTTCTAATATAATAATTCTATTATAATTCTATCTTAGAATGTTTCAGACCACCCCCCCCAAAAAAAAACTTAAATTGAGGCTGGGGTACAGCTCAGTGGTAGAGCGCTTGTCTAGTATGTACAAGGTCCTGGGTTTGACTCCCCTGCACAACAACAAACAAACAACAGAAGCTCGAAAACCTAAATTTCATCTCAACATTTCTACTTTGGGCATGCTCTCCCAAAAAACTAAAAAAGTTATATGCAAAGAAGTTTATTACAAAATCAACTGCAATTTAAAAGTATAAGGACATATCTAAAAATYGCTCTTCAAGAAAATAATTAGAGTCACATGATTCTTTATGAAGACTTTCTTTTAATGACAAGGTAATCCTTGTAATACAATATTAAACTAAAAAAAGGTATAAATACTTAACTACATAAAAATAAATTTWAAAAATGTTTAGAATATGCTAAAATATGAGTGACTTACCTAAATTTTCTTTTTTTTTCTTTTTAGTTTTCGGCGGACACAACATCTTTGTTTGTAGGTGGTGCTGAGGATCGAACCTGGGCCGCACGCATGCTAGGCGAGCACCCTACCGCTTGAGCCACATCCCCAGCCCTACCTAAATTTTCTGTAACCTTAAAATTTTAAAATACTAATTTTTCTGATTAAACAAGTAACAAATCTAACAAACTTCTTTTAAAAAACCCTGCCATCTAGGGAAATACAGAACTAGAAAGAAGAATTTGCTTTAAACTTGAGAATAGGACTCTAATAAGAAGAAAGAAAATAAATAAAAATTCTAGTAAGGGAGATATTTGAAGAAAAAACATTTTGCCAGAATACAGGATTATGAAGCACAATAGAGGGGAAAACAGAAAATCTAATGAGTTAATACAACGGTTATATGTTGCATTTTTTAATTAACAGGGGAAAATAATTAAATTATCTTAGGTTCTTTGTGAAACAGTATGTGGAGCATTAGAGAATGGCTAGAACATTTCTAAGAAAAACAGTAGGACTTGCAATGTGAGCTTTCTGAAAAGTTAATAAAATACACAAAGTAGAAAAATTACAGAGGGAGACATAAAATTAAGGGACTGAATTTTCGATTTATGAGATAAAAGAACCCTAATTCTGCCCTCAGCATTTCCCCAGATTTCAGTTATCTGACCCACTAATATCCTAGGCTGACATAACTTAAATAAAGTGACAAAATAATAACAAAGGTAAAAAATCACAACTGAAATCTCAAAATTATTTTGCAAAATAATAATAATTTGCAAAACAAAATCAGCTCTTAAAAGCTCCCAAAATAGTAGGGATACTTGAAGCAGTTAATGTACCTAAAACTGTTAGAGAGGCATTTGCTGAGAGACCTCCTGCTATATTTTGCGCCATGCAACTATAGATTCCCATGTCTTCTATTTTCACATTGGCAATGAAGAAGACATCRTCCTCAGGCATGACATGCATGCGTCTTTCTCGAGCCGCAGGAAAGTCAGTACCACCATCTTTCTGCCAGGAAATCTGAGGTACAGGGTGCCCCTCTGCAGCACATTCTAATCTGGCCATGGCACCAGTGCGGATAGTCAGATCCATTGGAGTTTTCAGAAAAGATGGCATCTCTGTTCCAAGAAAGATCATTAAGAAAAAAGTCAGGAGAGGGAAAAATATACACAACATGCCAATCTGACAGGCAAGATATCAATTGTTGAAATGATGCATTTCTTTGAGAAGACATTCTCTCTGGATTGACAGTCAATACAACTTTAGAAGCCATCTTTCCTCTCAGAAACTCAAAAGAGTATTTAGAGCACAGTGACAACTAACTCTTCTAGAATATCTGACATGCCTGTGATTTTCCTGATGGGATTAGGGAAAGCAGAAAGCCACAAACATTTCTGAACTCCATATTTCAGAACTTGATATTTAATAATACTCTCATATGTATGAAGTTAAATGGTGCTTCCTAAACTAACATCAACACAGTGGTCAAGGAAACTGCATGTTTAAAAAAAAAAAAAAGGTCTTTAAAAATCTAAGAAACACAGAAGACAAATACATTTTTTTGGTTGCATAAAGTCTAAAATGTGACATTCATACAACATAATAGGCAATAGATAAAGCTATCCTGAAGTTTTTTTTCCAGCCACAGAAAGAAGAGCATTAATTTCAAAAATGATTCTTTGTGACTAATTTAGACAATAATACCAATCTAAACTAAATATAGTCAAGAAACATAATTCCTTACCATTCACTGTCAGTTTGGCTTTTTGAGAATAATTGGAACCAAAATGATTAGTAACAATACACTGGTATTTTCCTTCATCTGTGAAATTCACATTGAAAAGATGTAAAATACTAGTATATTCCAGAGCTTCTCCAGCTTGCTGCCGGTAACGAACAAAATTCTCAATATCCACATCATATAGGATTTCACTATTTTTGCGCCACACAGTGGACATGGGTGAATCACTGCTACTCACTGCAGTACATGTCAGAGACACATTAACTCCTCTTAGAGCAACTGTGGATTCAGGATGTGTTCTTATCTGTGGCTTGAGAAAATCATCTGAGGGGRGAAAAATGCAGTAGTAGACATGTTAATTATTTACTTGTACTTCTTTAGATTCAATTTTAAAACAAATACCGTAAAACTGTGAGTTCTATTTATACAGTGGCATATTAAAGTTGAAAAAGATTATAGAGCTGATGTCCAATTCCTTTGTTTAAAGACGGGGGAAACATTACAGAAAAGTATTTTCTGTAAATGAGCAAGTAAATAGCTTGCTCAAAGTCATTAAGTCACTGGCAGAACCTAGACAGGAACTCAGGCTCCTGACATAAGGATCCAGTTTTACTATCCATGACACTTATGTGCCTATAATGTATTTCTTAAGCATTACCAGTTAGCRGAGAAAAAAAGAAACCTTAGATTAGAATTTCAAGACAAGTTCTAATTCTATTATCCCTTTCTTATTATATATTACATAWATTATAACTATTACCCTTTCCATGCCAATATAGAAAATGGGGATATGTACTATTCTATTTCACAGAGTACCATCAATAATACAAAATACTTGGCAGTACTCTGTGAATACTCACAACATTAAAATAGTGAAAAAAATCCAAGTATGTCAAATGTACAACTAAAGATTAGTGTAGGACTGACTTGACTAATCAACTATAGATTTATAAACTGTAACGCTACTGGGTTGATTCAGAGAGGTTTGCATATCAATTCTTAACTATTATCTTTACTGAATAATATTTCACAGTATAAAAGTGATATGCAGAATGMTAGAATAAGAGATATGTCTACATTTAATTACTAAAATCAAAAAGAAATGTGCAGCAACATATGCAGAACTTAGTCTTTATTAGATTCTTTGTTTCCTTCTTTAAAATTTGTAAAAACAATGGAAGTATTTTGTGGGCCTGAACTTGCAAGCACCCCAAGTATAATTAAGTAGATTGTGAAATTAGATCTGGCAAAACAAGAGTACTAAATGAACACGCAACACAGATGTACTAAAGTCATCCCTCTATATCCAAGAGCTTTGCATCCAAGAATTCAACCAACGGAAGAATTAAAATAACAGAGGAAGTCAAAAGTAGTGGTGCACATCTATAATCCTAGCAATATGGAGGGTAAGGCAGGAAGATTTCAAGTTTGAAGCCAGCCTCAGCAACTTAGTGAGTCCCTAAGCAACTTAGCAAGACCCTGTCTCAAAATTAAAATAGGGGCTGGGGATATACCTCAGTGATAAAATGCCCCTGGGTTCAATCCCCAGTACCAAAAAATAAATAACAGGAAAAAATTATTTTGTTCTGAACACGTACAGACTTTTGTTCTTATTCCTAAAATTATTCCTTAGATAAAACAGTGTAAGTATTTATATAGCATTTATATCACATTAGGTATCTTAAGTAATTTAGAGTTAATTAATATGCAGATATTGCATTTATATGCAAATACTATCTCATTTTATATGAGGGACTGAAACATCCAAGGATCTTGGAAGCAAACCCCTGTGGAAGCTGAGGGATGACTGTTCCATGTGAAGCTAAGAATCATTCCTTCTACTTTAAAGGAAATTTGAATGTAAAGGCAAAATTTCCAAGTTGAAAAAGATTTATACCAGAAATTATAAGTATTAAAATCAAGACACCTTGTCTATGTCTATCCCCTCAAGAAAACAAAACAAAAAAAAAATTCAAGTCTTAAAAAAAAAAATCCTTCAGTCTTAAAAAGCTGCATTTAAAAATACAGCACATGAAATCAGTATCTTATTATACATAAAACTTGCTGTACATGTATAATTACAGCATTGCTGATGACGACATACACTGCTGGTCACAACACAACTAGTGTTCTTTTTTTAGAATACCTGTGGCACTTTTCAAGACCTACAATAAGTATTCATGTAAAAAAAAAAAAA